ATATTGCACAGGTTTCTCTTTCATTTTCTTAAAATGATCCCACACTCCGTTGCTGGGTAGCCATGATACCAGAGCCTGTCTGTATAATGTCTTGTGACGTCCACGGCCTACCCCAGTTACCACTACTGTGCATGTGTGTCAAGGACAGAAAGGCAGATGTGGCAGTGGAAGGTGACAAAGCAGTTTGGAGAGAAAAACAAAGTAAAGAACAAAAAAAAAAAAGGAAAACGATTAATCTATTATTAAATTAGTCATCGATTATTTTAATAATGGATTAGTCGTCGACTAATCGTGGCAGCCCTATTTGTAATGACTTATCGCGAGAACAAACGTATTGACGTGACTTTAATAGCATTTCTTACTGAATGGAAACACTGCAGTTGCGAAACTGTGTTTTTCAACATTAACAGAATATCCACAAAGTTTTGCGCCCATTTGCAATGGAAACACAATTGGCTGTCCTGATCCACACCTTTTTTTTTTTATAAATTATTAGCAGTAATGCTGCATAAAGTTGTTTACAAACTGCAATTAAATACATTAGATGTGAGAAAGTATTATAAGGTTAAYAGATTTTCAACATACCAATCACCAGTTATAATAAGTTCAACCTGTATTTAGATGTTCTGCTAACTGTAAGGAGTGTAATGACATTTATTAATCCTTGTACAGTTATTCAGTAATGGCAGGTATTAAATTGACTTGTACTCAGTTTGAAAAAGGTGTGGCATCAGTGCATCCAAAAACTTTCTATTTTGCACTCTACCATTTTGTTTTTTAGTGCTCCCTCGAATTCAAGTCCCCTCTGACAGGAGCCCCTCCCATCAATGATGACCACAGCGTATCCAAGAGAGGCCAGAGTGTTGAGTCGTAGGTACTTCATTCCCTTAAAGGAGTTGTTTACCAGCTGYACCTAAACGAATAAACAGAACGTGCATCAAAATTTCACTCAATTTACACATTAATACAAGTTTAAAGTAATGCCTAGAGGAAATATCTCACTTGACTGCGACTGTTGGAGACTAGCTGGCAACTCAAGATTTCTTTTTGAAGCTGGGTTTGAAATGGACAGTTAGTGAAATTCACAGCTTGTTTTTCTGAGTTTTGGTTTGGAAAAATCAAAGCTATGAACATTATTTYGCTGCCCACCTCAGCAGCTAGAGTACACTTTTAAATGGTAAGACTGTACTTATATAGCACCTTTCTATCCAACCAGGGTACTCAAAGTGTTTTACACTACAATCTGTCCTCATTTACCCATTCACAMAGCACTCTATTATCCCTCTACAAAGCTAACATGTACAATCATCTGTGGAGACTAATCAGTGCTTTAAATCACATCCATGCACTRATGGGACACATCAGAGGCATTAGGGGTTWCAGTGTCTTGCCCAGGAACACTCCARCATGTGACTGAATAGCGGGGAATCKAACAGCCAACTCTCTGATTAGAGGACAACTCCCTTACTCACTCAGCCACAGCTGCCCCCAAATTTTAAACTTTTAAAATAAAGACAGGCAGATTAGGACCAGMTTTTTTATAATCTTCAGTGTGGTTTTTAGACATGAACAGAGAGCTCCAGTGCAGGTCTCAAAATAAAGCTCATGTACTCTTTTTTTTTCTGCTTGGCCTTCAGAGGAGTTGGACGTTTTTTGCTCTCTCTCCCGAACCTGTCCCTCTTTCCCTGCTTTGCAGCTTTTTCAAGCCTTTCTTCTACCTGTCATCCAAAATCAAAAGGAATTATGGATTTGGTCAACTGGTCTCTGAACGCAGTCAACACTATTTTTTCCACACAGAGACTGGAGCGAGGGGAGCGCAGCTGTCCCAGTGGAATAGTGGTGGTGGTCGGGCGATTGTCTGGCTCTTGGGGCTGGCACCTGATCTGTTTGGCCCCGCTTTCCATTGAAGATGTGGAAGATTTGTACATATTTGGATTCATGATAACTGGATTCCTGCTGATCGGCTGTGGAGGAGTTCTGGCTTATTGGAAAATAATAGCGATCCTGACAGCAGTTMGGGCCTGTGAGAAGCTGTCAGGAACCATGGATGGAGTCTCCCGTACTGGTAACGCACAGACTCAGATGCTGGGGGATATAAGTCACAAACTGGATGTGATTCTGACTAGGATCACAGTTCAGCAGTGTGGCCATGAGATGTAGGATTACACCTGGGTGAAGTTTCAGACAGAAAGAGAGGTGAGGAGGTAATGAATTCGGAACATTGGCTTTTTTTTCCATTTCATAGATGCAATTTAACACTGAGAAGGGGTTATCTGTAGAATCAAAGTGGGCGTGTCAGAAGAGTAGGCATGTCTAAAACATAAACACTGTGGGCTACGAGGCCTACATGACGGTATCCTTAGACCCTGCTTGACCTCTATACAGCCTGACCCTGACCCCAACACTAAGGTTAACCAGGAGAAATGTGACCCAAGTAGGGGTCTCCAGAAAAAGTGGTGCCGTACAGTAACGCCCCTTTTGTTCTTGTCCAATCAGGTGGTGCCGTACAGTAACGCCCCTTTTGTTCTTGTCCAATCAGGTGTGTCCCTTTAAAAAAGTCCATCAAATCGGGTGTGTCACTTTAGAATCGCCTTTCGTTGGGACACGCCCACTCGTCCACAGAGACCCCTACTTGTAAAGACTTAAAGTAGAGAGAAAATCAAGGCTGCTTGCCCCCAAAACAATCATGTTTATCTTTGGATTCCTGCAGCTGCTGACCTCGGCTCGGCAGTTATCAAACTCCCTRGATGACACGTGAAACAAAAGCTTGACTCCCCATCCCCTAMCCRTATCATCCATGGGTGGATCARKCTGGAGGCCACARTGGGTGGAGASAGAGAACTGAACTCTGGTGATTTGTGCTTTGGTTGATAACAACTTRTTTTGGACTCTGGAGGTCTCTGATTGGTTCCAGCACGGAGTATTAACCTGAAATATCACCGGCTCCACTGCATCCTACCCCATACCATGTGTTTGATCCACAGCCCCTCCCTTCTTTAGCTGCCTTGCACTGCACGAGGGATTTTTTTGAGCGTAAGATTCTTTGTTTCTGTGTAAACACAGGATCAGAGCATCTTTTTTTTACTCACCTTTCCTCTTGTGTGTATTCCAAGCTGCAAAACATAGCGCGACCATGTTGTGAATGACCTGAACATCCGTTGTCCCCAATGTTTATGTGTGTGTGTAATAAGAATGGGTGTTCTTAACTGCAAGTTCCTAGTCTGTGTTTATCACTGACAATGGCAATAAAACTGATTCTGATGCCCTCAACAAAATTCAGATGGGTGGACCGGGTAGATGGGTTAAAGACATTCACAACAACTATTATGAGATCAAAACTGTCACACAAAGTTCTTCAACATGATCACAAACCAAGCAAAAGCACTACCTGTCTCTGTGACTCAAGCAAAGTCAAGGGACACTCTCAATGTTTCAGGCATTCTACACCCTGGTCCGGTTTACGACACCTCATGCCCGTGCCTATATAAATATGCGAGGCTGCGCACGTCCACTGATTTTGCCTGATGTCGGAGCTGCTCCGGAGTCAAGCTACAAAGATCATGTTGCACCAACAGGAAAAGGAACGAGCACAACTTCTGTA